GTGCTAGCTGCATTTTTTTTATTTTATTTTTTAATTAAATGTCTATTTTTAAGTGGAAGAATTTTTCCAGACTATTTTTTTTGGAAGCAATCAAAGACTCTGATGCTGGATTAATTGATAGCAATTTATGATGAAGAAGAAATTCTGTTATCTCGACAACGTGATTTGTGCAAAACATCAAGAGATAGAAATCACGTTTACAAAAATATTTCAAATGAAAATAATTTGACAGTTTTGAATTAGAATTGGAAAACATGAATAACTTTTACAATAATCTCTAAACTTTTAAATATGAGATATTTTATAAACGTCTTTTAAGAGATGAATAATAACCTATTTAAACTTGTAGATTGTAATAAGTTTCTAACAAGCTATTAGAAAAAATGTTAGAAAGTGAAACCAAAGAATGCAAAGCGACAAAGCTTCTCAAGTCTTTGGGTTATTCCTCCCCAAAGAAATTAACTGATAGAGGCGAAAGAAACACCATAAAAATAACTCTCTTTGAGGCTGAAATTCTTAAAGACCTCAATTCCAAAGAGAAAGTTGTAATTCGAATGGTTGAAAATCTCGATCCAGAAGTACTAGCAGAGTTCGAAAAGGAATATGAAGCTGCTAAAATTGTAAAAGATATTAATCATCCAAATATTGTAAAAATCAACAAGGTAATACCTTATGAAAAATACTTGATTATTGAAATGCCAAAATATTTCAGTGATTTAGAACAACTAGTCTTGCAAAATGAGACTGCCAGTGAAGAGACATGTCTTCCAACGGATCTGATCTTTATGGTTGCCTATCAACTGACCAATACTCTTGTTTTCCTCGAAACAAAGAAAATCATCCATCGAGATATTTCACTTGCAAACCTATTAGTAGAGGAATTTGATAAGGAAAAGGGAATTCTCAAAATTGTTTTGGCAGATTTTGAGAGAATGCACAGTGGTCCGCCAAAAATGTGTGATGGTGATATTGACTTGTCGTCTGGAGGTCAAGTTACTTCTCCACCTGAATTGTATAGTGAAACTTATGATGTTTGGGAGTTGGGAGCTATTATTTATCAAATGATAACTGGTGATTTAACAACCACGTTTCGTCTATTGCAACCTCACCAATTAAGAATACATTTATATGGAACTGATGAAGAGAATCAAGTTGTAACAGATGGTTTGTATCAGAAAAGATTGAGGAATAGCTATATGGTCCCATACTTGTGGTCCTGTTTTCAGAATCATGCAAAGAGGATTCCTTCTGTTGCAATTATGGAGGAAATACTTGCTCAATTTTACTTTTATGTTTCGAATACAAAGAAGATTTTGACAAAGGAAAGAAAGGAAAAACCAAAGGAATTTTTCGTGTTGAACTTTTTCCAACACTTAGCAACAAACGAGGACAAGTTTGAAGAAATTCTCAAAATGGAATCTAAAGACATGAATAATACAGAGCTATACATTAAGAATGTGTTCAACACCATGTTTGGTAATAAGGGAGTTTTCAATGTAAAAGAAGGAGAATCCAGTAATGAGTTGAAGAAATATTCTGTGTACTTTAACAAATTTCAAGGATTTTATATGTTATTCAATGAGAAGTTTGAAACAGCAAAGACTATCTTCCAAAACG